TAACCCTAACCCTAACCCTAACCCTAACCCTAACCCTAACCCTAACCCTAACCCTAACCCTAACCCTAACCCTAACCCTAACCCTAGCCGGGCACTAGCTCGATCGGCAGGTCTGTGTCAGTACGAGGCGGCAGCTTGTCTGCTTCCACCTCGCTGAAGACAGCCTCGAGGTCCTTGTAGGGCTCGGGAATCGAGGCTGGAGCCTTGGCCTCTGGTTCCACCTCGATCTCGATGCCTTTGTCCTCTCCCGTCGGTACGAAGCCGAAGCTCGGTAGCAAGCTGGGTGGTGCATCGATGAGCATGATGCCAATGGGACCATCCTCATATGCTGCCTGGATGAGCTGGTCAGCGAAGACGAACTCATTGCCATGCGCCGTGATTGAGGGTGGCGGGTATTCGGCAGGGGAATCGCGTCTGTCGAGTTCGGCGAGCGGCAATGTGTGATTGCCGAGATGACGCGACTTCGGCACAGTATGCGGGTGCCCTGCCGAAGTGGGGAAATGGATACGGTCGTTCTCCCAGTTGATCTGCGGCTGCAGTTGCCTCAGCGTACCGTAGCCTATGATCAAGTCGAAGTCTACGATGTCGGCTATGTAGGCATGGAGCCCAGGTAGCTCCTGCTGGCCTACGCCGACCGTCACGACGGCGTCTTGAGTGATAGGCACTCGGTGGCCGCTGATGCCATGGATCGTCTTGGAGGCGGCCGTGGGTGTGGTGTTGATACAATATGTACGAGCGAACGAGCTTGAGAGTAGAGACAGTGAAGCTCCAGTGTCGGCGAGGATGCGAGCTGGCTTGGCGTTGATAGTGCCAGTGAGCTCGAGGACCGACGGACTGGAGTTGATGGAGAAACACAACTGACAGTCCTGGTATATACAGGTGGATGGCGAGGAGGGTTGTAGGGCAAGACAGGCCATCACTGGGTTGTCCCACGAGCGTTTCCCTCGCCGTTGTCGTTATCCATGCCGATGAGGGGCTCTTGAGCCGGTAGCAGCTCATCATCATCGACATCTTCCTCGTCCTGCTCCTCGGAGGGGTCTGCCACGGTCTCGCCGTCATCCTCCTGGGCTGCGAAGGCCTTGGGACCTGGCTGACGATCCTTGTTCCGTAATACGGCGAGGCGGGGCCGTTGGGAGCAGCTGTGGGACCAGTGTTCCAGGCTACCGCAGATCCTGCAGCCGTCTCCGAANGTTCCGTAATACGGCGAGGCGGGGCCGTTGGGAGCAGCTGTGGGACCAGTGTTCCAGGCTACCGCAGATCCTGCAGCCGTCTCCGAATGTGGTGGGCTGTGGTCGCCTCGGCTCGTAGCGGACAGGCAGCTTGCTGGCCAGGTGAGGAGGAGGGGGCCGCCCACTAGGTCGGGCACTATCGGCTTGCGCCTCAGCACGTGGTTGAGCGGCAGTGGACCAGGATCTCATGGCGGGGCGAGGTTCGTTTGCCACTTCGGCCGGGCGCATAGGTGTCTTTGCCGAGCTCGCTCGAGTTTGCTCGGGGGCGAACCGGTCGTAGCGTATAGCATCAGACGTCGACTCAGCGAGCCCAGCACTGCTCTGGAGCGTCTGCTGATTGAGCACCTGGCTTCGATCGATGGCCTCAACCTGCCAATACCACTCCCACATGCTCTTGGGAGGGTCGCGCTTGAAGAGACGCTGAAGGCTGGGCGTGAGGCCGTTACAGAAGACGAGCATCTTCATTCTCTCGTCGCTGACCTGTGCTCGGTCCGCTAGAGCTCTGAACTGCTCGACGTACTCGNTGAGGCCGTTACAGAAGACGAGCATCTTCATTCTCTCGTCGCTGACCTGTGCTCGGTCCGCTAGAGCTCTGAACTGCTCGACGTACTCGATAGCCTTGCCTGCCTTGTCAGAGGCTAGTCTGATGGCGTGCAGCTGGAGGTACGCCTCATACTGCACGTCGTGGTGGCCGTACAGCTCCTTGAGTCGGTCAACAAAGTACGTCCAGTTGTTGAACAGGATACCCGACTGGGATGGGTCAACCCGGAGCTTAGAGCGGTACCACTGCAAGGCCCTTCCTTCCAGGTTGGGTCCAAGGTACTGGATTTGCCGCTTAGCATCCATCATCTCGTAGAACTGGAACCAGCTCTCGATCTCGATGAGCGAGAGCTCTAAGTCGTCCTCCTGCCATTTCGGAAAGGCAAGCTTGGGGCCGTTCTTGCTGGCCGTCTTCTCGCTAGCCATAGTGTAGTCGGCAGGATGTACTGGAGGAGCCATGGGACCGGTGGCCATTGAATACAGTTCCTCCTGACTGTAGTCGCCTCGTCCCACCATAGGTACCAGCGGAGGCTGCCTGGGTGTGGACNGCCTCCTCAAGCTCTGCTTCTAGCTCCTTCTGCCGAGCGACTGCCTGGGCCTGGTCCTCCCTGGCTCGAACAACGTCCTCGAGAACCCGGGAGTGGGCATCAGACTTAGCGAGGAGCGCCCGCTTGGCCTCGTTCTCCTTGAGGAGGTTGTCCAGCCTCGCGCTGGTGACCTCCGCGCGGAGCTCGGTGATGGAGGCCTGGAGCCCTTGAACGAGCCTCAGCAGGGACTCCATGGTGGGCTGGGCCTCCTCCCGCTGGGAGCCCCGGGGCGAGGTCTCGCCAGGTAGCGATCCCTGGTGGGAGCTGGGCATGGTGAGCTACGGGGCACTGCTTGAACGATCCACTCTAATGTAAGGGG